TGGCATATAATTATTCACAATAGTCTCTTATGATCCTTTGTTTTTTTATGGTATAGGCTTACATTTCTAATTCAACTTATTTGAGTCTTTTTTTTTTCTTAATGAATATAGTCAAAAGTTTGTCAATTTTGTTTGTATTTTCAAAGAACCAGCTCATAGATTCATTGATCTTTTCTATTGTTTCTTTTAATCTCTATGTAATTTATTTTTACTCTGATCTTTATTATTTCCTTCCATCTACTCACTTTGAGATTTGTTGGTTCTTTATTTCTAGTTCCTTTAGGTGTGAAGTGAAACTGTTTGAGAATTTTTTCTTGTTTTTCTGAGGTAGGCTTGTATTTGCTGTGAGCTCCTTCTTACAACTACTTTTGCTGCATCCCATACTTTTGAAATTGTGTATTTCCACTTTCATTTTTCCCAAAGTATTTTTTTGTTTCCCTTTGATTTCTTCATTGACCTATTGATTGTTCAGTAGCATGTTGTTTAATCTCCATGTATTTGTCGTCTTTCCAGTTTTCTTCTTGTAATTGATTTATAGTTTCATAATCCTGTAGTCAGAAAAGATGACTGATATAATATCAATATTGTTAAATTACTGATACTTGTTTTGTGGCCTAACATGTCATTTATCTCAGAGAATGTTCCTTGAGCATTTGAGAAAAATATGTTATCTACTGCTTTTGGATGGAATATTCTGTTGTATCTATCAAATCTATCTGGTCCAATGTCTCATTTAAGCTGATGTTTCCTATCCATCATTCTTTGTTTTTCAACTACAATTTCCTTCTACCTGAAGAATATGAATTAGTATTTATTTTGTTTCAGGTCTGCGGGGATGAATTCTTTAGGATTTCATTTTGTTAAGTATGGTTTTAGCATACACGTACACCCACATGCTCCACACAAACACACACATGTGTATATGTTTTCAGATGTAGACTTAACCATTTGCATTCATTTTCTGAATTGTGAATATATTCCATTTTATTCTAGCTTTCCTTGCTTAGGTTGATATGCATTAACCTAATTGTTGATCCAAAAGAAGATAATTTATTTTTTCCTTTTTAAGATGTTCCTTTCTCACCATGGCTTTTATCAGTTTACTCTGAGGTTCCTACTTGTGGTTATCTTAGTACTCACCCTGCTTCAATCCACTGTGCCTCTTAAATCTGTGGCTTAGCATCTTTATTCAGTAATGAAAAATTTTGAACCATCATTTCTTTATATCTATCATGTATCATATATCTATATATCTATATCTATCAAATGTCTGTCTAGATATATACATATTCCTCCTATACCCTATAATCGCTTTATAGTCTTATAAATATACTCTTATAGTTCTCTTATCTTTCTTTTTTTTATTACCTCATGTTCTCTGTGAATCGGGAATCTGGGAGTGGTTTGTTAGGTGGTGGCTCAGGGTCTCTCACGAAGCTGCAGTCAAACTGTCACACAGGACATCTCAAGGCTTAATGAAGGTGAAAGACCTACCCCCAAAATCACTCATATGATTGTGGGAGACCTCAGTCCCACATATTTTTAGATGATTTCCTTTTCTTTTCCTCTCTAGGCTAATTTTCGGTCATCTACACGCACATACATAGACACCCACACACATCCTCTCTCACTCTTGTTGTTAGGCTAATGTTTGAGAGACCCTACTCATCTCCTTTTTGCCATTTCACTGTATTTCCTTTAAGACTCTCACCTAAAAATCTAAGAGGTAAGCTTTCCTGCCTGTGTAGAGTTCCCCTACTTTGGCTATATAACACACCCTTTCGGATAACAGCATCAGGTTTCTCCAAGTTTTTCTTCAGCTCGACGACCATTTGTTGGTGGTGGTGGTGATTAGTATTAAATTCAGAATAACAGTTCTGCTCAATACTTGCTCTTATTTTTTTTCAAATGTATCATTTAAAATATTAAATAAAAAGTTCATATTCATTTAAAATTTTTAAGATAGATAAATATAAAAATATAAGCAATGAAACTTTCTCTGCCTACCCCTTCTCTTTCTTATTTTTTATGAGTAACTGTTCACAGTTGCTTAAGAATCAATCAAGATCTTGTCCTGTACAATACAATTATAGATGTTTAGATTTAGATTCTGGTATATTCAATAGCTAAAAGCCTATTATACTACTTAGGTTTTATATATAGAAATATATCATCGATATCCTTCCATGTCAGGCTACTTCATATTGAAGATTATGTGTATTCATTTTACAGATAATGTATAATTTGTTTACTGTACCCTTATGATAGACATTTATATCTTCATTTCTTTTTGAAAATAATATGGCAAGGAATCTCTATATATTACATGATAGTTGTGCATATATTACTGTACAATGAATTTCTAGAAGTAGGAATGCTCACTCAAATATTCCTCAATATCTGAGACTTGAAATCATGGTAATTCCACCAGATTGGAATCTCTCGCCAATTGTTGAATAGATTAATTATATCTTCTCTCTATATTGACTCAAAATCATGGTGTTTTAGTATTTGATATTATCTGCTAAGCATTATTTAATTCTTCCTAGCCTAATGTTTCACACATTGGTAGTTCTTAAATATAGTCAGTATTAAGGTGGAAGTTTGTACAGCACATTCAAGAAACAGCAAGGAGGTCAGCATGTCAGAATGAACCAAGAGAAGGGGACAGTAGAAGAGGACAAGTTCAAAGACAGAGTGCTGTGGGTCACTTAAAGAACTTTGGAGGACTTTCTCTCCATTATCAAATATCTAAAAAGATAGTCTACACTCTGTCTCCACTTCCATCGCACTGTGGCTTCCATCCTGATTTAACTGCTGCCTAGATGCCCCAAGCAAAGGTCTTCAGTGCTTCATTACGGCCAAAGCAGTGGCCTCTTCATACCGCTTTGCCCACACTGTCTAACCAGACGTAAGATATATATTAACAGTATATGATTTAGTATGAATAAAAAATGCCTTTTATAATGATAAAATATGTATTTTTATTTTTATATTTACTAGCCACTATCATCACAGAATTCTATTTGACTTTTCCTCTTTTCCTCTCCCAATTGTTCTGCTCTTTTATTTCTTTTCAGCTTCTTATGCCAAGTCCTTCAACTTTACTCAGTGTGTAATCTAATGTTTCATTCTTGGTTCTCTTCTTAGGTGAACTTTGAGAAGTTTCACGGATGTTTTCTCCTCTCTAAATAAGTTAATAGAAATTCTATTTCTGATATGCTCTGAAAAAGTTATAAGCAATTTGCATGGCTTTTGAAAATACTAAGTTTATGAAAGTAGATTGCTTAAGATGTTTAAATATTTGATAAAGGACATTTTATTTATACAACTGCGAACTTAATATTTATTTATTATTTCCTTCTGCTTGTGATGCCTTTTATCTGCTTCAGTGTGTTTACTGATGCTCATTGGATGTGATCATGAGACATACTGAACTCCAAAGTATTTCTGTTTTAGCAGAGTTTAAATTACTGATGCCGCTAATATATATTTATTATTATAAATAACATTATTTCTAATCCCTTGGTATTGATAATATATAAGTCTATTTTTTTAAACTTAGTCAAGTATCTTATAAGACAGAACAATTAACACTCTGAATAATATCAGATAACAATTCTAAGTTATAATTGCCAAATTATGGAAAATAGTGAATACATTAATCCTAGGTAAGAACTTAAAAATGTAAGGATTACTGCCTGAAATTGAATGTCAGTCTCTTTTTTTACTATGGGTCTTCTATGCATTTTCCTGCTTCTCTTAAATAGTACAAAATTTTTTTGTCATTAAGAGAAAACTTACTTTTTAGTATAAAAATGTATTATTTCTTATGCAAAATCAACATCCATAACATTAATTTGTGACTGAAGTGATTATAGATTGTGCAACTTTGAAATAAAATTTTTCTTGAAATGTTATCTCTATGAAGTGTTTTTACAATACACTCATAATTTTATTGCATTATCTGAATTTTTTGAATATAATGCAGATTTAACTTGTCTTGTGAGATCATAGTAATTATACTTAGTTCTTTCTTTTATTTCTCCATTTTTGTTACAAGTAGGCTATCTGCCCTTTTTGTAAACCACAATTTATAATCAAAAGTGCAAATTGAGTTAAATGCTTTAAATTCCTCCAGAATAAATTTATTTCATGAATTCCAGATATTAGTTGTTATACATAATTATATTTCTTTTAAGATTATCTTTCAGTTTATTACCAAAATACCTTTATTTAGTAGAAAAACTCATGTCTACTCCAATAATTGAAGAAAGTATTTTATGGGGGTTTGACAGGAGAATCAGAATGCAGTTTGATTCTCCAAGGTTTAGCCTCAATGACTCCCATGTGTATAGTACTCACTGAAGACATTCTCCTTACCAGTACCTGCTCTAGATTTTAAGTGATATTTCCAGTTTGTAAAACTGCTAATTTCACATAACATGACAGTACCTACAAGTAACACATATAGTCCAATATTCAATTTAAATAACATTTTCTCGATTTTTAATATCTTCCATTAAACTTTTACAGACCTCCTTAGCATCTCTTCATTGGTTTTAATTGAGTTGTACCTACTTCATTCAGGAATCTAAGGTAGATACCGCAATACTAGGAAAAAAATCATTCTACTGTTATATTCAAACTTGAGTCAGGATTCGAAATTCAAAGGTTCTAAGACTGAGTTGAAAACTTATTAAATTGAATCCTTCTGTCTTTCCTTTGTTTGACTGTTACTTGAAAATATAACATGCAGTGCCACCCTGTATGCCTTTTAGTATTTCATACAGTTTTCAATTAGTATATAATTATATCATTCAAAAATATATCTCCCAGGTAATTTAAATAGTAACAAGAGAAAGTTAGACTAAGCCTTCATTTTTAATTAGAAATATTGAGAAATAGTAAGGTACAATTATTTAGAAAAAAATGGAAACAACTCTTTACAGTCTGGAAGAATGTATAATACTAGTGATTTGGGGAATTTTTTCTTTCAGGTGGTTTAGAATCTTTGAAAAATCTTCAGCGACTAGTTGTGGACCACAATCAGCTAATCAGTACAAAAGGTCTTGGTGATGCTCCTGCTGTCATATACTTAGATTGCTCTCATAATCATCTTACTGAAGTTGAGGGTATTGAAAACTGTGGATTGCTCCAAATACTGAAGTTACAGGGAAATTATCTAAGTGAGGTAATTGCTTTGAAGTAATTGATTTCTGTGATTAAAGTGTTTTTCTTTTGATGGAAATATCAACCACACATTTTATTTTTTTTGATCAGGGAAAAGGATCATTAATTTGTTTATTTTTGATTAAAAAAATTGAAGTATAGTTGATATGAAACACATAAAAGAAATTTTGATGAATTTTTTTGTTTTTTTTCTGATTGGGTGTATTTGATTTCCAGTTTTAACTCTTACATATTTTTCTGTATTTGAAAATGTTCAACATAGAATATTATAAAGGTCTGATTTGCCATTAGTTTTCCATAAAACTAAAATATTATGAATTGTAACTTTTCAGTTATATTTCAGTATATTAGTGGGACCAAATTTATCTGTCATGAAATTCTAGTTAAAATTTGTCATTAAATATCTTACTGGCAAAAAAAATTGTCTAGTTATGAAGTTAATCTTAGAAATGTTATTCATAGTAAAATTCTCATCACATTATGCTTTGATTTATGACATGTGGTTTACTGGAATATAATTTTGTTAAATGACAAAAATATTTTACTTAATATAAACTAATGACCTAAATTTAAATACAGCCTCCATCCTTAGAGAATCATGTTCTACTAAGGGAATTATACTTGGATGATAACAGCATTTCAGCTGTGGATGCATTTTCTTCATATTGGCTGCCCTTACTACAAAACCTGACTCTCTCTCAAAACAGGTAAAAACAAACTTTGCTTAAGCAAAAGTGCAGTGAATGCTTGCTTAAAGTAAATGTGTGATCTTTACAATAAGTAAAAAGGCTATTAGGTTTTTCCAATAATTCAGTGAAAATGCATCACAACAAATTAATGCATAAATTATAAATACAACTACAAAATTTAAAAATTAACGTATTGACATACTCTTTAATTTTAGTAGAATTTTCTAAGTTATCTTACTTTTTGTTTCTTGTCAAAGACATACTTGTAGAAATCTCTTAGGGCAAGTTTGTTTATATTTGTAAAGAATATAGTCCTTGGAAAATGCAGAAGGTGGTTAATTTAATTCAGAAGGATGTCTCATTCTCTCAAGTGGTACTTATTAAGTCCTGGAAGAACGATTTTTAATCTGCTCTCAACTTGCATGTCTTTTTGTAACTGTTAAGATTGATTTAAATTTGATTTCCCTAAGGATATAAAGTAACACTTAAAAAAAGACTTCACCATTAAATTGAGATGGGTACCTGCCACAGAAGATCCATTTGAAACCACCAAACATCTGGATCTTTGCAGAGAATAACTGTCTAAAACCAAAACAGGAGCATAATATTGTATTTCTCCTTGTGCTTAATATTTCATTGAGACCTATTTATTCTAATACGATTATTTTGTTCATCAAAGGCACATGCTGTAGGGGAAAGAATCTACCTTTAACAAGAAATTGCTTCTTTGAGCTATATAATTCTTGCAAAACAAATGAGCAAGGGCAACCCAATTTTAATATGTATATATATATATATCCCAAATAAAATTTTCTCACAATCTTTGCCACAGTAATGCTCATCCCACTATTGAATATATATGTCCCTAATGATTTAACATTCATCTATTAAACTATTCCACTATTTGACAAATCAAAAACTGATTCTGTATTCAAACACTCTTTCAAATTGTTTTAATCAGATCTATATGAAAGTTGATTTGGCTTTTAAAAGACATTTATTCTAGAGCCAGCTTTATCAGATAACACTGTTTAAGTAATTTGGGCCATCTACTAACCCACTGGATCTTTTCACAATGTTTTCCAGGTAAAAAACACAATTTCAGTAGAAATACTCAGCTATGCTTTGGACATATGCAGTAAATCATTCTGTAATTGATATACTTAGCATACTTTATAAAAGTGGATCTCTCATTAATGAGCTTAATAATATTAAAGGAGATTAGAAAATATTTAAATGAAGGACATTTTTGAGAAATAATGCCTTTAATTTCTTTGGACAATTTAAATCATCAACAAGATTTTCTATTTTTAAAAGATAAAATTAATACAAGCTGATAGACTTTTGCCCTATCAATCTGATATGACTTGTTTCTCATTTGAATCTGATATGACTAGGAATTACATAAACTAGATCATTAATTCTTTTTAAAGTTAATAACAGTAATCCTTATCTATAATTGTCTTTGCTTAGCCTTATACCACTGGAATATTGAGGTGGTGGTTGAAATTTTGGGGGATACAAAACTAATATATGTCTTTACCCTAAAACAAACTCTGAAGAATAAAATGTAGTCTTTTGAGCTTAACTATATAAAAAAAGAGATAAAATTATTATATAGTATTCTGCTGTTTTGAATTTTTTAGTAATGCTGTCACTTCTGTTTGAACATATTCTTTGTTGGTCTCTCAAAGCTCTTGGCACATGTAACCTTCTACCATTTCTGAAAGGAAGAGAGAAGGGAAGGCCGGTAGGCACCAGGGCAATGTGATTGCCAGATAGGAACTTACAGAGTGGTGAATTATTTCTAAAATCGTAGTGTAAAAATAATCTTCAATTTTAGGATTTTTCACAATAAGCTAACACTAGTAACTGTAGACATTATCCATCTTATGTTAAGCTTTTAAATGTGCATTGACTTTTTCAGAACCGTACCAGATTTTGTAAAACTCAGTGTCAGCAGATCTGCGAAATTCTGAATCTAAGACTTGTCAGCTGACATATGAGCAGCTCTCTTCTCACTACCTGAATCTTAGTTATTTTTTCACTAATAAAAGGGATAATGATACCAACCTTGCCTATTTCATGAGATTTTAATGATGATCCCAAAGAAATACATATGTCAATATGTTTTACAAACTTGAGAAGAGTTTTATAAATGTGACGTTTGGATTTGTGGTTGGGACGTTTTTTAAATTGTATATATTTTTCTCTTAATTTTTGATATTTTTGTCACAAGGAAGAAATTGCGTCCATTTGCTTTTTTTCCCCAACAAATGAAATATAATAAAGAATAATGCTAAGTACATATTGTTTGAGATACTTGTTTTATCTTGACTTCTGTTTTAAGTTTTCTTGAGGACATGTGACTGTTTTAAGTTTGACTCAGTGGAGTTCTAACTGGAAGACTCCGCTTCATAAGCCTTTCTACCTCCAGTGCGACTCTAAATAGGAGCGGAAAGTGGAAACTTACCCATTGGCTTCTCATTGTACAAATCTTTTGCTTTTTGTCGTCTTTGAAATTTATATCTTTTTTATGCCCAGGGCTAATGTGACAAGGTCAAATGGTATTAGGTTTTCGGTAATGTCCTTTGTCTTTCTGGTTTGAATTTTCTTGGAAAAAAAATATACACAGAATGTCAGTGAAAGACAAAGTTCTAGAGGTTTTTTATTTTTTTAAAGAATTCTATTAGGTTTCTATCATCCTAATGAATAGTCATAAAGGTGAATGAATAGCCAGTTTCTTTATTAAAATTTCTAAAAAAGAAAAAGAACATGATTCTTAAAGTATGGTTATCTGAAATGTTAAAATCTGAGTATTATTAAAGTATTTGGTCAAATATTTATCTGTATTGATTTTTGCAAAGTAAATTTGTATTTTTAATTATAAAATATTATTGGTTATTTTTACTTGATGCCTCATATAACTCATATGTTACCTATTTGTTGTGATAAATTTATTTTTTAAAAACATGGATATTCTGGAAAAGGAAAGACTCATTATCTAGTAAGCTTTCAAAATCTTTTTAGAAGATTAAAGATTTAGTATTAGAAATTTATTAAAGATACAAAACAAATAAGAATTTTCTTGTTCATAAATACATTTATTAGAATTATATTTTCACTTCAAAAATATAATTTTCTCACTTCTAATAATAATGATCCAAAACATGCATGTGTAAGAAAGTCATAAAACTAGGACTTAAATCCATTAAATAAGTATCAACAAAGTTGTCTCTTTCTTTTCTTCTTCCTTTCTCCCCTTCTTCTCTCCCTCCCTCCCTCTTTCTTTCTCTCTCTCTTTCTCTCTCCCTCCCTCCCTTCCTTCCTTCCTTCTTTTCTTCCTTCCTTTTTCCATGTACATGTGACATTTCAATAAATTTTACTAAAGAGTGTATGTACAAATAACGGCATGCATATATACATGTAATAGCCAATATTTTATGACTTTTTATTACCTTAGATTTTTTTCCCGTGGAAATTATATTTGAAGAAGTAGTGTTGTATAGGTTTCATATAAATATTAATATTGTACTTAGGAACTACAGTCAAAGATCTTCCAGCTCCATTATTTAGACTATTTTTTTCATCAGTAGTATCTTCTATCTCTGCTAATGCAGAACAGGATAGTACAAAAGGGGAGTCAAGGTCAATATAAAGGTTAGTTTTGTGCCAGACCCCATGAGGCTTCCAGCCACAGTATTATTCTGTAAGCTTCTGACCTTATTTTTAATTTCATTATTTTTTCCATGAAAAGGAGTTGGTAGAATAAAGATATAAAAATTTCTGCTAGGACAATAGCAGAAATAGAACAAAAAGTAGATAAATAAAAAAAAGCAAAAGAGGTGTAAATTGATGCATCCTTTTTTTTTGTACCAGAAATATTCAGTTATTTGAAGAATTATTTTGAACAGTTATAGAGTTCCAACATTTATAGGGGAATTGGTTCAGGTGTCTTGTATTTATAATATGAATATATTTTATGCAAAGAAGTTTGTTTCTTGTTTAAAGATTTAGATGAGCTTACTTAATTTTTATTTCCAAATAGTTAAAGTAATGTGATATTATGTTACAGAGTAAGGGTAGACTTGTTTTAGTTGGAAATGCAAATCAAACTGAAGTAATTTTCCTTTCACAGGCTTTATTTCCAATAATGTGAATATTGTGAATATCATTTATATTCCAGGCTTGAATATGGGTTCTTAATGAAAATTATATCTTAGAAAATGATAGAAACTTTCAAAATAAGTGGAAGTTCATTATTATTAAAATTTGAGTAATTATGCATTAATAAAAGTATTAATTTTAAATATTGAGCTATTTCTGCCAAAATAAAGTCCATCCTATTTACATAAAACATTTTCTATTATTGTATTTGTTGGATATGTATTTCCAGTTTAGAAATAACTCTGGATGCTTACAATACTTAAAATACTTTCAATCTTTTAACCAAAACTTTTTAAAAATTAAAACAAACTAGTGACTAATCCATTGAAAAGTGAAAATGAGTATTTTTTTATGTTTTAACTCTTAATGATTTGTTATGTGTTTAAATCAGGAAAAATATATGGATAGTCTAAATTCCCTGTAAATTTGACTTTAAAAACAAGATGAACCAGTAACAACAGAAACAAAAACTTATTTTCATTTAAATACCAAATTCACATTAAAGTCCATGACATTTGTGATTAAAATTGACCATTTCATGAAAACTTCTCTTTACAAGTGAAACATACCTTCTATTATGAAATACTTAGAATTTTATAATTAGTATATTTTAATAAGTACTGTTGGTCAATGTTGTAATTGTATTTTATTGAACATACAGTTGTATATACAATTGCATATCATTGTATAATGTGTTGTATAAATGTATTATTATATAGTTACATTAATATTAAAGACATTCCAATATAAAATTTTTATGAATTCTTTTTTTTGTTTTCAGCTTGACAAAAATCATACCACTTTTTCATTTTGTTTCTTTGGAAAAACTAGATGTCAGCAACAATTGTCTTTCTGGTAAGTTTAGAATAATAGATAATATTTTTAAATAATAATTTATTGAGCTTTAGTTACAAATATGGTAAGGAGTTGCTTTGACTAGAGGTGTTAATGACATTTACAAGTAACGTATCTGTGGATAGAGGAAAAACACTTGAACCTCTACCCTTTTAGGGTCTAAGATTAAGCTGACTCAAGATAGATGAACAGAACAAAAGAATACAAGTTTTAATTTTTTTTACATGTACAGGAGAGTTCTTACAAGAAAAAAAGACCCCAAGAGTTGAACACTTATATAGTAAGTAGGGCAGAGTAGTGAATTGTGAACTAGTGGTAAGTCAAAGGGGCTTGGGCTAGGGTGGTCAACTGGATGGAAAGGTGACTAGGAAGTAAGGGTCAGTTTACAAGTTTGTACACACCTTTCTTAGCCTCTGCTTCCCATCCTTGGCATAAGAATATCTCTTTCTTTCTGGTTTGGGAAAGGCATCTTTCACATAGCAATTTCACCTCCTGCTTTTAAGAAAAAGAAGGAACTTCAGAGTGTCCTTGGATCTGCTTTAACTCAAAATAGTCGATATACTAGAATGCATATGGGGTGGTATGTTGTGAACATGTTCAAAGGCATGGTGAAATAATACAGTTAAATTTTCTTCCCACTTTTAAAACTGTCACTTCCATGTCTTTCTGGTAAACCTGGGCAAATGTCACAATTATATTTTTATTAGAAATTCATATATGTTTATCTGTGAAACGGTGTAATTTAAGAAGTTGAGTAAAAAAACTTGTCTAATTTGTTGACTTCTAACAGGTATAGTGTAAACACCCACTGTAAGTTTATTAAATTAAACAGCGATGAATTGATTTGGTCAACTAATCCTCCCTAAAAATTCCCCATCCCATTCCAAGTCAATCCCTTCATGAAGAACACCACATTCTAAATTTGTCACCATAGGTTTAATTTTTACTATTCTACATCTTTGTATTGTAATCATCAAACAGAATGTTACCTTTTGTCTCCAGCTTCTTTTACTGAGCTTTCAAGTGACGTTCTACCATACCGGTTGTTTCTCAGTGGCTTGTTCTTTTTCTTTTTCTTTTTTTGCTGATATTTAGTCCATTGTATAAATTTATCACAAGTTGTCCATTGTCCTGTTGATCAATATTGTAATTGTTCACAGTTTGAGGCTACAATGGAATTTCTTATGAAGTTCTTGTACAAATCCTTTTGTGAGACTTGCTTGCAAGTTCTCTTGGGTTAATATATAGGAGTGTTATTGCTGGATAATAGAATAAGTGTATTATTTAATGTAATGAAAAAAACTAAAAAAAAACTGTTTTCCAAAATAGCTATAACTTTTTATACCCCCACCAGCAATGTACCAAAGTTTAAGTTGCTCTGTTCTAAAGAGTGTTCATTTAGTATTCCACTGTTAACTCATTATGATTTCAGTTTGCATTTCCTTGATAAATAATGATATTGAGCCTATTTACAGGCATTTATTGATGATTTCCATGTCTTTTGTGTCTATTCAGTATCTCACCATTTAAAAAATTTGGTTATTTGCCTTTTTCTTATTGACTTGTATAAGTTTCTTATATATTCTGGATGAAATTCTTTGTCAGATATATGTTTTGTAAATATTTTCTCCCAGTCTCTCTTTTACCTCTTTAGTAATGGTATCTTTAGATGGGCAGAATTTTAAATTTTGGTCAAAGTTCATTTTATCATTTTTTAATAGTTATTGTTCTCTGTGTACTTTGTAATATTTCCCCATCTCCAGATTGAGAAGATAATTTTCCATGCTTTTGTGCTTTCTTATAGAAGTTTTGTATTTTTAGTTTTTACGTTTGGTTCTGTGATCCATATCAAATTGACTTTTATGAATGATATGAATTAGAGGATGAGTTCAGTTTTTAATATAAATATTCAGTTGTTCCATCAACATTTGTTAAAGCTTTTTTCATCATCGTATTATTTTGGTGTCTTTGTCAAAAATTTTGATTTATATCTGTTTTTTTTTTATTTTTTTACATGCCTAGCAATTTTTTTTCATGAGGTGAAAAATGTATTAAATTAAAAATTTTAAGAAACTAACACATGATTCAAGGTTCTAAAAGTTCAAAGGGGAATTCAGGGAAAAGTCTCCTTCCTAGCCTCACCTCCCCAGCAGCAACGAGTGTTACTAGCAGGTGGGTCTCCCCCAGAGGCATTCGTGTTACTAGCAGGTGGGTCTCCCCCAGAGGCATTCGTGTTACTAGCAGGTGGGTCTCCCCCAGAGGTATTCAGGACATAGACGTGGAGATTAATAGTGGATTCCTGTCTGACTGCCGCCCCTGTACTCTGCCCTCCCTCCTGCCACTCTGCTGCAGCCACCTTGGCCACATGGTTTTCTTCATAGATCAGGGTGGCAGGTCCCAAAGGCTCCCTTCCTCCAGGCATTTGTTCTTTCCCGTGGACAAAACTAGCTTCCAAGAGGCAATAGTTCACATAGGTAACAGGTATTATTTTTGAGAATGAAAAACAACATACTAGGAAACAAAAACAAAAATTACCAAGGACAGCTTTAGCTCTGGTAGCAGACCAGTGGGAAAACTGGACCAACTAAAACAATGAATCTTTCAGTTCCCTACAGTTATATACGTAACACAGGTCCAGAGAGTACAGACAGATACTTGAAGTACCATCGCAAAGGAGAAAGAGGACTTTTAGTTCAAAGGTTCAGTGGTTGTAAGAGTGTGTAGTAATTCTTATGTAACTGAGGACTTAAAAGTAGTGATTAGAATTGGAACAGTTCTTCTACATTCTGATCCTATAGATTCATCTCCTCTTTTATTAGGTAGATCTGTGTGGTGCTTCAATGTCACCCTTACTGCTTCTAGAGTCAAATAGGCACATACATGATAAGACAAATATAAATCTTCCACAAGACTTTTCTTTCTTCAATTCATTTAAACTAAAAAAAAAATTACTCATGTGTCCCCCCTTGGGGAGCCACCAGTCTCTTCCCTGTGTCTGTGAGCTTGTTTTTTGTGTTGTTGTTGTTTTGATTCCACACATGAGAGAGACCATATGGTATTTGTCTTCCTGATTTATTTCACTTACTATAATGCCCTTGAAGTCCATCCATGTCAAAATAGCAATATTTCATTCTTTTTTATGGCTGAATAATATTCTGTCATAGATAAATACCACAATTTCTTTATCCATTCATACGTACATGTACACTTAAGGTGTTTCCATGTCTTGGCATTTTAAATAATAATGCAGTGAATATGGGGGTGCATATAGCTTTTCAAATTAGTGTTTTATTTTCTTCAAATAAATATCCAGAAGTGAAATCACTGGACCATATGGGAGTTCTATTTTTAATTTTTTGAGGAACCTCTATACTGTTTTCCATAATGGCTGCACAAATTCACTATCCCACCAACAGTGTACAAAAGTTCTTTTTTCTCCACATCCTCACAAATACTTGTTACTGACTGACTGTTTGGTAATAGCCATTCTAGCAGGTATGAGAAGATAACCCATTGTGGTTTTGATTTGCACTTTCCTGTCGATTAGTAATGTTGAGCATCTTTTCATGCATCTGTTGGTCATCCTTATGTCTTCTCTGGATTATCTATTCAGATCCTCTGCCCATTTTTTAATTAGATTATTTGGGATGTTTTCTGTGGAGTTGTATGAATTCTTTATATATTTTGGATATTAGTCCCTTATCAGATACATGACTTGCAAACATTTTCTCCCATCAGTAGGTTTCCTTTTCACTTTGTTAATGGTTTCCTTTGCTACGTTGAAGCTTTTTACTTTGATGTAGTCCCACTTTATTTTTGCTTTTGGTGTCAGATTAAATACACCATCACCATGGTTTGGTCAAGGAACTTACTACCTATACTGTCTTCTAGGAGTTCTCTGGTTTCAGGGCTTAAGTCTTTTATCCATCTTGAGTTAATTTTTGTGTGTGGTATAAGATAGTGGTCAAGTTTCATTCTTTTGCATGTGGCTGCCCAGTTCTCTCAAAACCACCTATTGAAGACATTGTTCTTTCTCATAATATATACTTCATTATTTTGTCATTACTTAATTGGCCATATGTGTGTAGGTTTACTTCCTTTTCTCCATTTTGTTCCATTGATCTGTGTCTGTTTTTATGCCAATACTATGCTATTTTAATCACTACAGCTTTGTAATATAGTTTGAAATCAGAGAGGATGATGTCTTTAGCTTTGTTCTTCTTAAGATGGTTTTGGCTATTTGGAGTCTTTTTTGCTTTCATACAAATTTTAGGATTGTTTGTTCTATTTCTTTGAAAAATGCCTTTGGGATTTTGATAGGGATTTCACTGAATCTGTATATGGCTTTCGATGGTATGGATAATTTAGCAGTATTAATTCTTCCAATCTATGTGCATGGACTATCTTTCCATTTATTTGTGTTGTCTTCAATTTCTCTCATCAGAGTCTTGTGTGTGGTATACGATAGTGGTCACGTGCCATTCTTTTGCATGTGGCAGCAAAAGGGCATGGGGTAATTTTTTGAAGTGATGATAATATTCAGTACATTGATTGGGTGATTCTAACAAAACTGTCATACTTATTTATAAACAAAATGGATAAAGATTGTTATATGTAAATTATCTCAAGAAAGCTGATATAAACAATAGGTGGTCAATTTGAGAAAATTGTTCTGCATGTACTAATTGATCTCAATATACTGATCTTTCACCTCCTTGGTTAAATTTATTCCTAAGTATTTTATTCTTTTCACACAGTTATAAATGGAACTGTTTTAAATTTCTTTCTGCTATTTTGTTATTAGTGTATAGAAATGCAAGAGATTTCTGTGTATTGATTTTGTGTCCTGCAACTTCACTGACTTTATTAGCTTCACTGAAATTTATTAGTTTTCACTGAAAATCTCCATTTAATTTTTTTCTGTAATCTTTTTTATTACCTTCCTTTACTAAGTTTGCAGTCATTTTTTCTTTATTTCTAGTTCCTGGAAGTATAAAGTTATGTTGTTTATTTGAAACTTTTCATGTTTCTTGAGGTAGCCATTTATTCCTATGAACTTCCCTCTGGGACTGCTTTTGCTGCATCCCGTACATTTTCATATGTTACCTTTCCATTTTCATTTAACTTCAAGGTATTTTTTGTATTTCTCTACTTCTCCTTTGAGTTCTGGATTGTTCAGTAGATGTTTAGTCATGTATTTGTGGATTTTCCAGTTTTCTTTGTGTAATTAATTTGTAGTTTCACACCATTGTGATCAGAAAAGATGCTTGACATCATTTCAGTCCTCTTAAATTTTTTAAGACTTGCTTTGTGGGCTAACACAAGATCTAGTTTCAAAAATGTTCCATGTGCACTTGAGAATAATATGTATTCCCTTACTTTTGTATGGAATGTTCTGTTAAACATCTGTTAAGTCCATCTGGTCTAACATGTTGTTTAAAACAAGGCTTATGTTTCATTATTGATTTGGATCAATAGGCAGATCTCGATGATCTACCCATTGATGCAAGTGAGAGGTATTAAAGTCTCCTACTTAATTATATTGCTCTTTCTCCCTGTAGGTCCGTTAATATTTTCTTTATATATTTAGTTGTTCCCATGTTGGGTACATGTTATATTCTTTTGCTTAAATGATCCCTTTATCATTATATAATACCCTATTTTGTCTCTAATTAGAGTGTTTGTTTTAAGTCTATTTTTGTCTGTCTTGTAATTTTTAACTGTATGTTGAACATTATACATACTACAGTTTGGTGAATTTAAACATTGTTGTCTTCCTTTTAAAGGATGTTAAGTTTAATTCTGGCAGACAGTTAAAGTATTGATTGGAAATTTTGTTTCTGTCAGCCTTAATTTTATTGTCTATTAGGACAAATCATTTTAGTTTTCAACTCTTAATGCATGCCCCTAACTCTAGGTAATTGTGTTTATGCCTAATGAATAGTCTTTCTGGATTTTAGCTAAATCTCTGAAATACTCATAAGGTCTCATTCTAGCTGAGCAGAAACTCCAGTGTCTGACTGCTGTGTAAACTTGGTGTCATCATTCAGCCCTTAGCCCTACAACAAAGTGGTCATTGCTAAGTGTTTCAGAGTCTTGCCCTGTCTGTATAACACCTACCATTCATCCAAGGGCCAGCAGTGAAGCCTCACAGACTTTTCCCCCCAATTTCCTCCCCTAACACATACGCACAGATTCTTCTCAGTACTTTTCACCATAAATTCCAGTTTCAGTTCTGATCTCTGTCTCTTAATTCAGCTGAACAGCCTCTTTGCTTGGTCTCCACTTTCCTGCTCTTTAGTGGTAAGGTGCTTTCAGGCAGAAAACCACTGTAATGGTAAGCTCATCATGTATGTTTTCCTTCTCTCAGAGTCAGGTGTACAAACAGGTACTTCTTATGTATTCTCCAGTTTCACGATTTTTTCAGTGGGAGAACAATTCTAGTATAAATTACTCTCTAATGTTCTCTAGCTTGACCTCTTTTACTTTTGTAAGTATAATATGTCCATGTAATTCTATTTAGGTTTATGTTCAATTTTACCACTTATCCTATTACTGTAGATTTCACCTCTTCTGATTTTGTGCTTATAATCTGGCACAAACTATTCTAAGGTCTTTACACCCATTATTTTATTGAATCCTTACCCTAAGAGATAGGTATGAACCTGAATTATAAAGTAGTTGTATGATTTGTCTAAGTTCACACAGCTGCTAAATGGTAGAAATATATATTCTGACAACAGAGTCTGTGTTCTTAATACAGTCTTCTTTTAAAAGCATACTGTGTTCTGCAGAATAATCTAGTTGCTTTTTTAATATAGCTAATAGATAAAACGGTCATTGATTTGTGAATATTTTTCTTTATCAGTGATACCATTCATTATGATTTTAATTGTTCTTTCCTGCAGATCTTACAAGTACTGAAAGATGTTTTGACGCATGCTATTCTCTCTGTGAATTGTCTCTCACTGGAAATCCACTTCTTCAAGAATTAAACTGGAGGTAAAGAGACATTTTCGTACCTTAGGTACATACTTTGTTATAGTTGCAGAAAATATTGTTTGATGAAAATTGTTCTGTGTATACTAATTGATTGGGAAAAGTTAATAAAAAATAATTAAAAGGTTATTCAAAACAGAACAGGTTTGTAAAAAATAGTTTAAAAAATATTGCCAACCTAAAATAATTTTTGCACATGTATGAGCTAATGCATACTTGACATAATTTAGATTCATATCATTGATTATGTGACAACTCTAGTATGTTATTAACTTAAGGTTTACATTTATAAAAAGTTAGTGGGAATTATGTTTTATGAGTCATCTGAATTATATAGATTGCTACTTAAAATTATTTCCTTTCTGCCAATAATTTAATTTTTTTATAAAAGAAAGTTGGTGTCTGTTAAAATAAGTATTATAAGCATGTGTGAATTCATGTATCTCTAGAATATTGTAGCACCTTAATGTAAATGAAGAAAAATATTTGTAATTTTGTGAATGAATTTTCTTTAAAAAAGTTCCTCTAATTTCAAATTTTCATGTTATTCTAACATTGTTTTTCCTTCAAATTGACCACCTTTTGTTTATAATCAGCTTTTTTGAGATAATTTACATATAATATCTTCATCCATTTTGTTTATAAATAAGTATGACAATTTTGTTAGAAACACCCAATCAATGCCCTGAACATTTTTATCACTTCAAAAAATTACCCCATATCCCTTTGCAGTCAGTTTCCTCCCCTGATACTTTAAATGTGTCTCTCCAGTGTCTACGGCTTTCATTATTTCTAATGAGAAATCTGCTGATGTAATTTTCTTGATTACTCTGTTTCTCAATAATTTTAAGATCTCTTTATGTGATTTTCAGCAATTTGATTATGACATACTTGTGGGTTTTTGGATTTGTTTATAGTTTCCATAAAATTCGGGCAGTTTTTTACTATTATTTTTTCAAATATTTTTTTCTACCTTCTTTCTATCTTGTACTAGGACACCAATTTCACCAATATTAGACCAGTTGATAAATCCCAGAAGTTGATTTTGCTTTGTTCTTATATTTTACACTTTTTTCCTGCCTATACTTCACTCTTAATAGTTATTGCTGCACCTTCAAGTTCTCTGATATTTTCTTCTTAAGTGTCTACTCTGCTATTAATCCCATCAATTCAGAATTGAGATATTCTTTTTTTAGAAGTTTCATTTCTGTCGTTTACTTAACATTTGTGATTTCTCTCCTGATGATGCTCATATTTTCCTGAATCATCTTGAACATATGGAGCATGCTTATAATAGCTGTTTTAACACCCTTGTTTGTTAGTTCCATCATCTCTGTCATTTTGAGGTCTATTTTTATTGATTTGATTCTCCTCATTCTGGGTCATATTTCCCTGCTCTTGTATGCCTGGTCAATTTTGGTTGTACACTGGACACTTTAAGGTTTTATATTGTCGATTTCCATTTTTTTCCCCTTTAGATAACATCTATTTTGTTTCTGACCTGCAGCAACTAATTAACTTGGAATTAGTTAACTCATTCCAAGTTTGCTTTGAGGTTGTGTTAGGGAAGTCCCAAAGAACCTTTAGACTAGTGTTAGTTTAGCTCCACTACTATGGTGCTAACTTTCTGAGTATTCTCCATGCCCCTTCTATGTATTATCTACTTTGGCTGATGGGAATTATTCCCAGACCTATGTGGGTTCTGGAAATTTTTCTGCCTTTTGCTTCCCATTGGGTCTTTCCCTTAGCCTTAAGTGGTTTTCTCACATGTCCTCAGATCGTTACTCTTTTATCTAGGAGGTCCAGGTGAATTACATCCTCAAATACTGAAAGACTGTCTGCTTTGGAATTTTCAGTACTGGTGATGATTCTGGCTTAAACTCATTTCTTTTTAATGTCCAGCAGTATGCATTTGTTAGGAGGTTTAACATAACTTACTACTTTTTTGACATTTGTATCATCATATCAGGTCATGGGTACATCAAAGCTGAACATGCCAAGAATAGACAGGGCTTACAGCCTAATTTAGCAAGATGAGTTTGATAACATACTAAGTATAAGAAAAAGCAAACATTTACTAAAATTCAGGTAGGAAAATCTATTTTAGGATCCTCAGAGTTTGGATCAAGTCAGCAAGTCTTATCAATTTTATCAGGTAGTAAAACTGCAGCGTTCGTGAACAAAATATAGATAAGAATGAATAATGGAAAACAAGGTTGTTGTGACATCTCATCCTAGGGCAGGAGCAGGGGCCCTTTGCCCTGATTTGGTTTCCCTGTAATATGTGGCCATAGCCAGGAAAATCCTGGTTCTCATGACTTTAGAAGAATATAAGATATCTTACAGAAAGAACAATGATCTGGTTATGTTTAAAGTTCCTGTTATCTGATTTAATTCACCTGTTGAACAAGGGAAGAGTCTAGGTAGTTGTCTCTGTTCCCTCCCTTGTCTGAGGCCATTGCAAACTTCTGACACTCTCTTTCCAGATGTTTTGGTTTCCTTCATTTGTTAAGTGGTCTTTGGTTAAGAAAAGTGCCTGTGTAATTTGCTACTCATCGATGATTTTTGTACCACAGAGTTATTATCTTTGCCAGAAAGTCTATTTTTCTTTAAAGCCAAGTTTCCACATAAATTTCTAATGTTACGTTCTATTTTTAGGAAAACCTGGTATGTTTCCACATGTTTTAGAACAGACCTTATCTACTTCTACTTTAGAAACGTCTGCTTCCAGCGCAAGTTAAGCTGTGTAGCACAGAGGAAACAGTATATATGCCCCAAGGAAGAAGTTCCTAAAAGGGTGTGTGTGCTCAGAGCAGCAGCTTCATTATGACCTGGGAACTTGTTAGAAAAAATGCAAAATTTTGGACACTGTTCAGACTCACTCAATCAGAAATTAGTGTATGACGCCCAGTAATCTGTGTTTAACATGTCCTTTGGGTGATCTGATGCCAATTAAACTGTGGAAGTCACTGTGCTTTTAAACAAGGACATCCTACTCTTGTGCCATAGTGTGTGGTTTTGGGCAAGTAACATAACTTTCCTATGTCTCTAAATCCTCACTTGTGAAATGAGAACAACAATAATACCTACCTTTTGGGTTGTTATGAGAATTGAATGGGATAATAAACATTTTGTTAAGAATGTGTATTCTTACTGGAACATGGTAAGCACATAAATATTTACTATTTTCCATTACTAGGCTAACCAGATTATTATGGGTTCTAATTCAACCACCAAGTATTTAGTGTATGCCTACTATATGCAACCAGTGTCCAAACATGTTAGACATTGTAAAAGCAGTTTAATATAACCCATGATTCCAAGTTATTTTTATAATCTGTTAGGGCTATAAATATGCCAAAGATGATATCTATAAATGCTAATAATTACAGTAAACACTAATATAGCATTTAGTTTGTGCCCAGCAGTTTTCTTCGATCCTCACAATATGCCTAGTAAAACAGCTACCTAGTGTATCCATTTTATAGGTAAGGAAACTGAGTCACAAGAAATGCTGAGTAACTTGCCCAAAGTTACACATCTAATAAGTGGAAGAGCCAGTATTCAGCCCACGCAGCCTGGCTCCAGAGTCTATGCTCTTTAACTCTTAGATTACAGTACCTAATGCAAGTACCAGATTATTATCATAAGCAACAGATTTGCTTTAGAGATTTGGAAACATGAACTTAATTTGAGATGGCCAGGAAAATCTGCCTTTGCTGAAAGGCAAACTTTGAGTAATCCCCAAAAGCTTGGTAAGATTTAAAATAAGGTTAAAAGGAAAAAAAAGAACTTCTGTTGGCATGCTCATCGGAATTCTGATCCCTCCTTTCATATCCATGAAGTGTGAGTGTGAATGTGAATGAGAATGTGAAACGTGGGGCTTACTCTGTTAGAAGGCCAGTCTGTTCAGACTTAAAGAGGGTATACTGGGAAATGACACTGGAAAGAAATAAGAAATCAAGTACTTACACTTACAATGTGTCAGAGAGTGGGATAAGTACCTATACATATTATTTCATGTCACAGCATCTCTGAATTGGGTTCTGTAATTATCATTCTCAGTTTTCAGAGGTTTTTATTGAAGCTTAGATGTCTTATGATTAGCTCAATACGGCCTGAGTAAGTGTCAGGGAAGAGATTTTAGTTCTGAAGCCTGGAATTTAAATAATATACTCTACTGTTTCACATGATAATATTATTGCTAGATTTTTAAAGGGCCTTTAATGCTAGAATTAAAAAGCCTCCTTTATCCTGGGGTCCTGGAGAGGGACTATAGTATAGTAGATACATGTATAGGCCTTGTTAGTAAACTGAGCAGGTGCTTATCTAGTTCCACCACTTCCTAGCTGTTGGCTTTGTGACAGTTGCTTAACCTTGCCCTGTTTCAGTTTCTTCACCAGTAGAATGGGTATTATAAAAATAGTACTTACCTCATAGGATGTCCTCATCAGGGTAATATTGGTTTTGCTGTACAACAACAGGTCCAGAAATTCGTGTGTTTTAATACAATAAAAGCTTATTTTTTATTTACATTATGTCTGATAAGAGCTCATCCTTCTGATCTAAGCAGACTCAGAATTCAGGCTATTTCCATTTTGTGGCTCTGGGTCATATACCTTCAACATAACCTCACTATTTTAGGTAGCAGATTGTGGTGAAGGAGGGAAAGAGACCACAGGGAAAGCATAGCTGACATTTAAGCACTCAAAAGTGGCAGGAATTACTTCTGTCATATTCTGCTGGTGGTAACTTGTCATATGGCCAAACGAACTTCAAAAGAGACTGGGGAATGAAGGGAAAAACATGAGTATCAGAGTATGCTAACATTCTCTGTGGGACTAAATACGTTACTGCATGGAGGCATTTTGTAGGAGTGCTTGCACATAGCACACTTGGTAAATGTGCTTTTAAACAAGGACATCCTACGCTTGTGCCATAGTGTGTGATTTTGGGCAAGTAACATAACTTTCCTATGTCTCTAAATCCTCACTGGTGAAATG